GCTGGGGCAGAGGGTTGGGGTGGGAGTGGTGAGGGCTCCGGGGTGGGACTGGAAAGAGGGGTTCAGGGTGTGGGATGGGGCTCTGGGCTGTGGCAGGGGGTTGGGTTGTGGGAGGGGGTCAGGGCTCTGGGCTGGGGGTGCAGGCCCTGGGGTGGGGCCCAGGAGGAGGGGTTTGGGGTGCAGGAAGGGGTTCCAGGTTAGGGGGGGCTCAGGGCTGGGGATTGAGGCACGGGTTTGGGGCACAGACTCCCAGTCAGCGGCGCAGCCGGGGTGCAGAGGCAGGCTTCCTGCCTGTCCTGGCACCGCGAACCGCACTGCGCCCCGGAAGCGGCCAGCAGCAGGTCTGGCTCCTAGGCAGAAGCGCGCCCACAGGCACCACCCCCCTCAGTTACCGGCCAATGGGAGTACGGAGCCGGTGCTCGGGGCAGGGGCAGCACGTGGAGTCCTGTAGCCTCCTGCCTAGGGGCCGGACCCGCTGCTGGCCACTTCCAGGGTGCAGCGCGGTGTCGGAAAAGGTAGGCAGTAGCCTGTCTTAGCTCGGCAGCGCTGCCGACAGGACTTTTAATGACCCGGTTGGCGGTGCTGAACAGAGCAAGGCGACCCAGCGCCTTACATGCCACGACCCAATAGTGGGTCGCAACCCCCGGTTTGAAAAACACTGTTTTAAGGTGCTCTGTTTACCCTTTTGTTTTCTCCTGATTTACCAATGCAGTGAACGGATTGTGTGCTACTTTTTCCTCCTGTGCACTTACTTAGTCATTCCCAATGTCTCCAATGCGGCACCCGTTCCAATCTTTCCGTGTTTCAGCTTTTAATTTCGCTTGGAGCACCTTTTTCCATTGCTGGCCCAATTCTTCAAGCACTATCTAAGTACCTGAAGCCCGTTGTCACCCACAAGGTTTATAACGAGGGGCTGGCACTTTTCTTTTTTGCAGGTTTTCTACAGCTGTTTCCAATTTTCTGTTCTGTTCCTGTGCTTTCCAGCCTGCACTGTTGCTTTTGTAGCTTCTTTTCACTCTTTTTTGGTTTCTGCTACTTGCCCCGCCAGTTCTGGGACATGTCGTCTGAACTATTTAACAGCCGTGGTCATATTTTTTAAAGCCTTGGTCTCTGCCATCGCTTTACATATTCCGGGCCACGTTTCCCCACTGTCTTTTTTGAACTCATGTGGATCTCCTTTGCTGGCCACCCAGCGCGTCCATACTTCATATAACTCTGGGGATTGGAAGGGAGGGTGTAGGAAGGCAGAGCACTCACCGGCACAGTGCCTCCTGCTGGTTGGTCTGAGAATTAGCTCTTCCAGCTTCACAGCGCCTCCTGCTGGCCAGTGTCCCCCTTGCTGCCGCCTGCTTCTCCCTTTTCTCCACCACACTTTAGTTCAGGCCCCACATCCCTCCCGGCCCGCGGTGCCCCTTTGCTCGGGCACTGCCCCCTGGCAGTACCCCCCACTCAGGAGTCCTCCCCTCCCTGGGGAACCCCAATCCCCCTAAGCCCACCTTGCCTCAGTGACCAACCACCAGTCTTCATCTAGCCCCTTTTCTCAGGAGCAAACTGTAGTCTGAAATGGCCGCTCATCATTGGCAAGTAGATTGCTGCCTTTTCCTGGTCTGGCTGCCCCGCTGCAGCCTCAGTACCACCACAGGCCCTTTTAGCACGGCCTCAGCCTGGGGATTCGCCTGGCCAGAGCTCCCCAGCTCTGCCTGTCCTTCCCCAGCACGGCTCTATTTGAGATACCCTTCTCTAGCCATCAGCCAGGGCCTTCCCACTCCACCACTGCTGTGAGACGTCCCCTGCCTAGCTCCCAGCCCTTTTATCAGGGCCAGCCGGACCCTAATTGGGTGTGGCCACACCTGCGACTGCCAACCCAATCAGCCGCCCTCGGCTGCTTTCAGCCCCGGCCCTCTCCAAGGGCTGGCTTTTAACCCTTTCCGAGCCGGAGCGGGGTGATTGCCCCGCTACAGAGGGGGTTTTCTGCCATGTTAGATCGTGATTCCTACAGAGGGCAGCTCGCCTACTTACCAAATCAGCGGTCGGGGTCACCAGTGTTGTCAGTTGTTGGCTGCGTGTGTGTTCTCTCTGCGTGCTAGGTACCGGCTCTGGCCAGGTAGACGGCACAGCAGACTTCCATCGACCTGCCCGGAAAGACCCCAGACTTGGTTTAGTGGCGAAAGCGCTCGGCCAGGTTTATTGCCAACAAAGCAGGGTTCTAGAACTCCATACGCTCTACAGGAACATTACTGTGTGTACGCCCGTGACAATGGACCAGCTCATCAGTGGCAGGGCTTTCCACTGCCCCCTAGGCCGGACAAAGGGTTACGGCGAGGTACCTCAACGTCTATAGACTGAGACAAACAATCTGGGATAAACAACTTAGGTGGTGTTTCATGACATGTTTGTTACCTCCCCTTGTACCTTTCTCCTCCTGCTTCAGACAAAACATCCCTATTCACCACCGTCTTTGTACTTTATTCCTCATGTTCCAGACAAAACACCCCCCTTCATCACTTCTGTCAAACCATCTTGTGCCAGGCTGGGGTGTCCCTGTGCTGGCCTGCTGGAATGTGTTCATATAGTCAGTGTGTTTTAGCAATGCCAGCGTACTTGTGCCAAGTTTATGTACCGGAACTTGCCGGCAAGCCTCTGCTTTTGGACAGGGCCTGACTTTTGCTCATAGCTTATCTTTTCCTGGCTTTGGTTCAAGCCGCAGGTCTTGCCCCATGCTCAAGCTTCAGGCTCTGTCTTCCTACTACCGTTCTGATACCTCACAACACGCCAGCCTTCAAATGCTTTGACCAATCCAGTCTGGCAATTCCCGGGCCTCCAGCGCTTTGATTGGTCTGTTGATGTGAAGGGAGCCTAAGAAAATTCACGCCACCCTAGGTGATTGTTGGAGAGTGAGGCAATCAAATCCTCTCTTGACAGCTAATTGAGAGCGCCATCCGAGGGGGAACAATCCCACAGGTGCCCAGAGGTTGAGGCCAGGTCGGATCAGCCACTGGAGCCCCCCAGAGGGAGGCAGGACGTTAGAAAGATGTTCACACAATGATTTTAGTTTGGGAAGAGGGGAGCTGTAGAGGGACTGGACTGAGGGCTTTAAAATGGTGAATGGAGGGGACGTTCACGTTGATGGTCTGGTGGATCTCCATCAAACACTTGGTGTTTCCAGAGGAGCATAAGGGAGTGAAATTCAATAGGATTTGGCTACCACCTCGCTTATGCTGTCTTGGAAACCCCAGCCTCAGAATTGAGCTGGTTGGTGGACTCAAAGTAGCTGTGGAGATCTCACTGTGGTAGGGATGTCAACTTGGTGAGGGAGACTGGCTGGCTCACAGGATACAGGCCCTTTGCCTCTAGGAGACGCCAGCTCTGGTCTGGCCCCACAATGAAAGGACTTGGAGGACTATTGGCCAAGGGAGGTGGTGGAGAATGGGACCTTTCCCTTCTAGGGGGCGCTGGCTACAATCTAGTCTGAGGTCAGTCGTGACTGAAAGGCCTTCCTGTTTGATGGCTGTTCTGCATTCATGAGACTAGTTGGTGGATATCAGTCAGACCTCTGCCAGGGCATCAGAAAACAGCAGCCCCTTTGCTACTCACTAGCTCCCTTGTTGGGAAACTTAGCAAAGGGTCAGGGAGTGAATGGGTCACAGAGATTGCACATGCTTCTTACACACAGGAGCCGTGATCCCAGTCCTGCCTGCACTAACCACTAGACCCTTTGTTAAGGTTCCTTCCCCACTAATTGTCTTAGTTCTATCCGTCTCTTATGTTCATTTTCTTTCTCTGTTGCTTTCAGTCTAGCCAGCTCTAGTTTGTTAGCTGCTTCACTGGTAGTCATTTTCCTGCTTTCTTGTGCTGGGTCACACCCCCTCTGCAGTTCACTGAAACTGGGATGCACTCAGCTCAGGGCTGCTTAGTTAACAGAGACTTTCACAGCATTCAGTGTTCAGCCTTTCTAAGCTAGCTAGACCCGAAAGTTAGAAAGAAAGAAGAAAAAAAACAATTCAGCTTGTAAATTCCTTTTGCTAGCTGCTTGCTCACAGCTTGAAACCTTCCATTAACAAAGACCCTTGTTAAAAAAACTTAACACCTCTGCCTTCAGGCAAAGAGAGAGAAGATCTGCATCTACCTTCAGCTCTGCTTTCTAAGCAGCTAAAAAGGAGGGGAAAAAATCTTACTGGCTTTTGGTTTAAAATGATCCCACCACTCTGCCACCATGTCAAGGTTCCGTCCCCACTCTGAACTCTAGGGTACAGATGTGGGGGACCTGCATGAGAACCTCTAAGCTTAACTACCAGCTTAGATCTGGTTTTGCTGCCACCACCCAAATTATTTATGAGTTATTTGGGAAACTCTGTTTACCTCCCCCCCAGAATATCTCCCTCCCAAGTACTAATAACCCTTCCCTGGGTAGCCTTGAGAGACTTCTCCACCAATTTCCTGGTGAACACCGATCCAAACCCTTGGATCTTAAAACAAGGAGAAATTAACCATTCCCCCTCCTTTCCCCCACCAGTTCCTGGTGAGTCCAGATCCAACCCCCTTGGATCTTAAAACAAGGAAAAATCAATCAGGTTCTTAAAAAGAAGGCTTTTAATTAAAGAAAGAAAGGTAAAAATCATCTCTGTAAAATCAGGATGGAAAATAACTTTACAGGGTAATCAGATTCAAAGAGCCCAGAGGAACCCCCTCTAGCCTTAGGTTCAAAGTTACAGCAAACAGAGGTAAACCCTCTAGCAAAAGGAACTTTTACAAGTTGAAAAAACAAAGATAAACTAACACGCCTTGCCTGGCTGTTACTTACAAGTTTGAAATATGAGAGACTTGTTCAGAAAGATTTGGAGAGCCTGGATTGATGTCCGGCAAGCGGAGTACGCGGCATCGACGGGGGAGCCTTCCTGCCGCGTCTGGACCCGCGGTAAGTTCGGACTAAGGTACTTCAAATTCAGCTACGTTATTAACGTAGCTGAATTTGCGTACCTTAGTCCGAAGTGGGGGGGTAGTGTAGACCAGGCCTCAGACGCACACAGCTCCTCCCATCCTCTCCACCACTTAACTCACCTAGGAACATGTTATCCCATCATTGGCCACTAGGGGAGGGTCTCTTGTGTCTTCCTCTGAAGCATCTCATGCTCGGTCCGGTTGGAGATGGGATATTGAGATAAACGACCCCCTGATCCACTTTCCTATGTCCATAAGTAGGTGTCAGCAAAACCCCCAAGATGTTTCTAAAGCAGTCTGGGTATAAATCTCTCTTTTAGGTGGATCAGGTTTGACTTGCTTCGTATCTGTGATAAAATCTGACCAGTTCTCCAGTCTTCCATTGAGACTTCCAGGGTAGACAGGACTTGAATTTCTAGTTGTGGGATGGGAGGCAAGGGGAAGAAATTAGTTTAGCCCTTTCAGGCCTTCACTGTGCATCACAAAGGAGCAACAGTGCCCAACTTTATATCCTCCTCAACTGGGGGATGGGGGCGTCAGCTACTGCCACTTCTGGGGTGGTGCCTCAGAGCTGATCACGTGTATAACACAGGAGTGTTCCGGGGGCCCTTGACAGTCATGTGATGTTTGAGCTCCTTGTAATGGAATTGTTTCCCATACAACATCCATGTTTCCGCACTCTGTGCCCTCAGCTCACCGCTGCCCGGATTGTGGGCGAGGGCGCCGCTTGCCCAGAGCCACAGAGAGATCCACGGAGTGTGTTGGGATCGGCTGCTGGCTCGTCGCTGCAGCCTGCTGCGAATGCTCAACCCATTCTTGTGGAGTGAAACCAAAACGTGAGTAGGATCTTCTCTCTCCTCTCGACTGTTTGGTGAAAGGGCCCATGTCCCATTCCACACACATCCTGAGCCAGCCAGTCCCTGCCCTGGGGCTGGAGCTGAGTCGCACCCTAGAGGGGAAAGACCCCATGTCCCATTCAACACCCCCCCAAACCAGTCAGTCCCTCCGTGCGGGGGCCGGATCAGAGCTGGCTCCCCTTGGAGGGGAAAGGCCCCCATCCCCCATTCCCACACAGCGAGTCTCTCTTGTCTCGCAGGTACCATGGCTACCACCAACCCCCTGGAGAACCTGCAGGTAGAAGCCAGCTGCTCCGTCTGCCTGGAGTACCTGAAGGACCCCGTCATCATTGACTGCGGCCACAACTTCTGCCGGGTCTGCATCACCCGCTGGTGGGAGGAGCTGAACCGGGACTTCCCCTGCCCCGTCTGCCGCAAGACCTTCCGCCACCGCACCCTCAAGCCCAACCGGCAGCTGGGCAACATGGTGGAGATCGCCAAGCAGTTGCAGGCCACCAAGCGCAAGGTGCGGGACGAGAGCTTGTGCGGGAAGCACAACGAGGTGCTCAACCTCTTCTGCAAGGAGGACCAGGAGGCCGTCTGCCTGGTGTGCGAGATCTCCCACGACCACCGCTCCCACACCGTGGTGCCCCTGGACGACGCCTCCCTGGAGTACAAGGTGGGAGGCTGCCCAAGCGGTGACACCCGGCCCTTTCCCCAGGGCCGGTGCTCTACAGTCCACGAGCTGGAGAAGGTCTCCCGGGGTCCCTCTAGCATCTGTCTTCATTGCAGAGCTAGCCCGGGTTCTAACCCACCCCCCTCATTCGCTTTCACTCACCCTCATCCAATGAGGATGCAGAGCTGGTCGTCCTCCAGTGCCTTCCCACAATGCCGCCTGTGTCCCTGGAAGGACAGACAAGTTCTCCCACAATTCACTGGGAAAGAACCAGCTCAGATTGCCGCAGTGCTGAGATCCAGGGGATATGCCCCCAGAAGTCCTAGTGATGCACACAGGGGAGCACAGCACCAGTGGGATCTAGTGGGTGGGGGCTGGGAGCCAGGACTTCTGGTTTCTGTCTCCAGCTCTGTGAGGAGAGTAGACCCTAGTGGTTAGATGACGGAGGACTGAGACTGGACTGTCCATAGGGGACTGGGTTCTCCTCTGGCCTTGACTGTGCCTCCCAGCAGCCGTAAGCCCTTTCCCGTGCCATAGTGCCACCCCTGGCCCGTGTAAATGCCAGGGAACTGACTGTCTGGTTACTGTTGCTTTGAGCCTGAATCTTGTGGCCGGGTCCAGCTTGTTAAATGTTCTTTGTCCTCTCAGGAGAAGCTGCAGCAGTGTCTGGAACCGCTGGAGCGGAAGCTGCAGGACATTGCCCACTGCAAATCCCAGGAGGAGAAGAAACCCGGAGAGCTGAAGGCAGGTGGCAGGGGCTCAGGGGTTTGCTCTGTAACCTGTGGCTGGGTCGTCCGTCAGATGCGCTGATCCGGCCATGAGTTGCGGAGCTGGGTTGGGCAGGGTCCCGGCTTGGATGGGAGACCTGCGGGAGGCCTCAGTGGGGGGTGCTCTCCCCTCGCAGTCAGTGCTGGCTCTCGATGCCCCAGCCTGGCGCTAGGGGGCGCTGTGCTGCTGGAAGTGGCATCTTTGAGACATGTCGGAAACCCTGCTTGTGTGAGATGAGTGAAGATCTCCTGTCGCTTATCTCAGGAGTCAGAGCACTGACCCTGGGGTCCAAATCCCAACTCGGGTGACTCTGTTCTGCCTCCCTGAGCCCCCTGCAGTCTGGTTTCAGGTGGATATGAGGCTCCCCTTTTGCATCCTCCCCCACGCTATCCTGCGGCTTTGCCTTGTGGTGTCACAGCCACCCCGCCCTGCCCCAGAGGTGGCTGCATTTTGACAGCCGGTGGAGCAATCTACATATACGCTCTGCAAAGAGGATAACCGTCTCTGCCCACCTATAGAGAGACCCCACCCATGTTCCCACTACACTCAGCTCCTCTCTGTTCAGCTCTGAGGAGACATCCCACACAACCAACACCATCACCTGGGACCCCCAGGTCTGGGGAACCCCCCCATCCTGAAACCCCCTGCTCCCTTCCTCTGTGGCCAGATCTGGGGGAGACCTGTGCTCATCCCTTGCCCCGTGGGGCAGTGCCCATCCTGGCTTTCCCCATGCCTGACTCCAGCTTGGTCCTCCCTTCTCCCTGCCACTGCAGAGAAAGGTGGAGAGCCGTCGGCAGCTGATTGTGAGCGAGTTCGAGGAGCTGCACCAGTTCCTGGAGGAGGAGCAGCAGGTGCTGCTCCGGCGGCTGGAGGAGGAGGAGAAGGAGATCCTGCAGAAGCTGAAGGACAACGTGGCCCAGCTGTCGGACCAGCGCCTCTCCCTCAACCAGATCATCACAGAGATCGAGGAGAAGTGCCTGCAGTCGGGCATTGAGATGCTCAAGGTGAGGAGCCCTAAGGGGCATCCTCTTTTCCTGGCCCTTAGGTTGGTACCCAGCGAGACGTGGCTGAATCCCTGGGCAAGCACACAGATTTCCATCCTACCCACAGAGCTTCCTCCAGAGAGGCTCAATATGGCACCTCTGTCTGGAGTTTCCAGAGCGGGGGAGTTGAGGGGCCTCTGTCCTCAAGAGCTTCCTCCCAAGCCACTTCCAGCTCTTAAGGGTGGAAGTAGCAGCCAGAATTCCCATCCAATCCCTGGAGCTCCCACCCAGGAGTCTCCCGAGCCCATGGAGGGGCACTGTTGGACATCTCCATGCGGATATGGATGGAGCTCCAGCTCCGTCCTAGGAGGCACCCAGAATTTCCATCCTGTCCCAAGAGTTTCTTCCGGGGCCTATTCTGAGCTTGCTTCTCAGATACCAGGCTGGCTTCCTGGAGAATCCATAACAAGGACATTTAGCCACCTCTGCCTTGGAGCTTCCTGCCAAGGGACCAACCACCTCCTTCAGCCTTGAATGCCCCTAGCGCAGAGACCGTTCTACTGGCCTGCAAGTGCTCGCACCAGGGTAGCTTATTCCACTTCAGCAAAGTGAAATAAGTTAGTCTCCACCTCGTCCCGGCATAACTCTGTCAGTAAAGTCACACACACCCCCAACCAGCATAGCTATTCTACAAGTGTAGACCAGGCTTTGGCCGTCAGGAGGTCCCACTTGGATGGGTCAGCATGACTATGTTGGGAGGAGGGAGGTTTAGGGACCTCTCTCTCTCAAGAGCTACTTCCCAACTCCTTGGTCTGCTCTGCTCCTTAGAGGTGGCCCACTGAGGATCTTTGCAGGGCTCCGACTGGAGCTCTGGCCGGATCCAGAGGAGGTCCTCGTATCTCCTAGGCTTCCTCAACGTGTTGGGGGAAAACCGGCCCCTGAGATGCCATCATGTGCAGATGTGCAAAGAGTCGAGACCGTCCGCTGCTGAGCCTCGAGCTCTGTGGTTGAGCCACTGCCCATCAAGGAGACTCTCATGCCGGGGGAAGGTCTGGGAGGCCTGTTGCTTGCTGGGGACGTCTCAAACCAGGATGGGCCAGAACGCTGGGGAACTGGCTGTAGGGGGCCAACCCTGGCCACCTTTTGGAACTGGGCGAGATGGACCCTGATTGGGGCATCTTCCGCTCTGATGGGCAAAGCATTGGGGGATAGGACGTAGGAGATGATCCTGGAATAGGTGGCGGATGGGCCTTGATGGGGCATCTCTCTGGGGAGGGGCTGTGGGAGACCTGTCCCACCCTGGGGTTTGGGCAGCCCAGATACTGCCTGACCGATTCCTGGAACCTCCCTTGATCCACTTCTTTTCTCTCCCTGCAGGACATAAAGAGCACCCTGGAAAGGTAAGGCCTCCATTCCCCGGCCCTCACCCTGGGAGCTGAAGACAGCACTGCCCAACCCCCTGCACTCAAAGGGAAAAGGATCTGAACAGGACAGGGGCCTAGTGGTGGGTCAGAGCTGCAGGAAAAGACAAACAACTGAGCCAGCCTGTGTCTTGGACCAGAATATCAGAGTGGGGTCTAGTAGCTTAGCACGGGGGGGCTGGGAGCCAGGACTCCTGGGTTCTATCCTGAACTCTGGGAGGGGAGGGGAGTCTAGTGGTTAGAGCAGGGGAAGAGGGACTCGGAGTCAGGACTCCTAGATTCTGCTTCTGGCTCAGCCCATTGTTTGGCTTCTCTTTGCCTCAGTTTCCCCTGCCTAGCCCTGTGTCTCGGGCACAGGCAGGGTTTGTGAGGCAGGATAAGTGTCTCTGAAATGCTCCGTGTTAACAGCCCTGCCCTTCCTCTCAGAATGCCGAGAAGATAACTACGTTACAGGCCATGCAGCTCTCAGATACAACGGTGACTGGGGCAGACAGGTACCTTGGATAGGGTAGGCCGGGGCTCTGGCCCCATGGGCCCCTGTCCTGGGAGCTCAGACCCAGCTGATGTGGTGCTAGCTATGTGTCGCCCCCTTCAGGTGTGAGACGGTGCAGACCATGGAACTGGCCTCGGTCCCCATTGAGCTGGAGAAGAATTTCTGCAGCTTCCCCCGGCAGTACTTTGTCTTGCGCAAGATCATCAAGAGACTGATTGGTGAGTGGGGCTGCCGAGAGCTCTGCCCTGGGTGAGGTCCCCTCCTTCCCTGGCCCTGGGGGGCTGGTCCCTCTCCCACCCTGTTCACCAGAGAACATACAGGGCTTGGAAACCCTGCTGGCTCTGGGTCGGTTTGTAGGAGGGGTGGGGCTGGCACAGAGGGGGTTTAGGAGGGGGTGTGGCGGGGTGAGCGGGGGGTCAGTTGGGGGTGGCTGGCACGGGGAGGATTCGGGAAGGGGGTGGCAGTGGGGTTGGTGGTTGGGATGGGTGAGTGGAGAGGTTGGTGTGGGGAGGGCTGGCACGGGAGGGATTCGGGAAGGGGGCGGCAGTGGGGTTGGTGGTTGGGTTTGGGTGAGTGGGGTGTTAGTTGGAAAGGATGTGGCAGGGTGAGTGAGGGGCTCGGTTGGGAGAGGGTGTGGGGCTGGCATGGGGGGATTCGGAAAGGGGTGGCAGTGGGGTTGGGTGAGGGGTGAGTGGGGGTTCGGTTTGGAGGGGGGATTCGGGAAGGGGTGGCAGTGGGGTTGATGGTTGGGTGTGGGGCGACCGCGAGGGCAATATGGGGTGGGGCAAAGGACTGACCGCCTGGCCCCTCTCCCCCTCCAGGAGACGTGACCCTGGACCCTGAGACGGCCCACCCCAACCTGGTGCTGTCCGAGGACCGCAAGAGCGTGAAGTTCGTGGACACGCGGCTGCGGGACCTTCCCGACACCCCGCGCCGCTTCACCATCTACCCCTGCGTCCTGGCGACCGAGGGCTTCACCTCGGGCCGCCACTACTGGGAGGTGGAGGTGGGCGACAAGACGCACTGGGCCCTGGGCGTCTGCAAGGACTCGGTGAGCCGCAAGGGCGAACTCATGGCCCTGCCCGAGACAGGCTACTGGCGAGTGCGGCTGTGGAACGGTGACAAGTATGCGGCCACCACCACCCCCTTCACTCCGCTGCACGTCCCTGTCAAGCCCAAGCGGGTGGGCGTCTTCCTGGACTACGAGGCCGGGCGGGTGTCCTTCTACAACGTGACCGACCGCTCCCACATCTACACCTTCACGGACACCTTCACCGAGAAGATCTGGCCCCTCTTCTACCCGGGCATCCGCGCCGGACGCAAGAACGCCGCCCCCCTCGTCATCCGCACCCCCACGGACTGGGAGTGACGGGGCCTGAGGCCGCTCGCGCCAGCCTCCTTGCAGACGGGCTAGGCAGGAGGCTTGGGTCTGGTTTCTGCTGTTCAACGCATGCCCTGACTGTGATGAGCACTGTGGCTCTTACTGCCCTCCTGGAGACCCTGCCTGCTTGTGGACCAGGAGAGCCGGGGCGGGGCCGGACATGGATTACCGAAGGCCCCACCCCTCCCCACAGACAGGGGTGGGGGACACCTCGCTGGCCATGCCCTGATTTAGTCCAACCCTCATGCGTTGAGCTTTGCAGGCCCCTGCCATGCACGCTGGAACCAGCCATGAAGGAACTGCTCTGTTCCATTTCCCCCCCCCGCTGTCCAGCCAGCCTTCCTGGACAGGGAGTGATGGAGGCGGCTAGATCCCGTTTCTGCCCCCCACATGGACCAGGCATGAGGGGATCTCACAGCTCTCTGACACCGCTGCCTTTCCAGGCTGTGGGGGAGGACCCCCACCACCCTCATCTCTCCCCCTAATGTGGGCCAGCTCAGCACGGACATCAGACTCCAGTGCAGTCCCGAAGGACAAGACCCTGGGTTCCCTCCTTGGGCAGGTGCTACCTCCCCCCCCATCCAGGAGTGGGGGGACCCTGCCGTTCAGGGGGATCTGGACCCAGGGACTAGTAAATTTCCCCCACTAGGTTAAACCCATGGGGATCTCTCTTGAGTGTGTAGATGGTAATAAGTCACTATGGACTGCAACGGGAGAGGAAGAGGAGGGGGGTTTCTGATTAGAATTGGGGGAGACAGGCTGCGAAGACTATGGGGGTGTCGGCAGTTCATTCTGAGGGCATTGCATAAACGGGGATCCAACAGATTTATGGGGTGGCCCCTCCCTCAAAATCACTCTGTTCCCTCCGTGATGTGGCCCTGGCTCCCCCTCCAGAATGGACTCAAGGGGACGGATCCGTGCTTGTCTGGCTGCATTCTCAGTCCCTGAGTCACTTTGATCCTGGGCTCCTCTCGCACTTGTCTCCTGATTTTGTGGGGCGGGGGGGCGGAAGGGAGGAACTGTGTTGTTTCCACCCGGCTCCCATGAAAATGCATCACATTGGATTGTCCAAGGTGAGTCCTTGGGAGAGGCAGCGGACTCGAGGGAGAGAATCCTTGGCCTTGTACGACCCAAGTTTATTTCCCTTCTGGAGCAGAGCAGGCAGGGTGAGGTCCAGTCGATTAGGTCTGGGGAGTCAGGACTCCTGGTTTCATTCCCAGCTCTGGGAGGGGAGTGATGTGTCTAGTAAAGCGGAGGGGCCGGGTGTCAGGATTCCTGGGTTCTGTGCCCAGCTCTAGGAGGGCATACTGGTATCACAGTCAGCCTGATCTGGTGCCGGCAGAGAGGCGGGGTGGCAGACTAGATGGATGAATTGGTACACAGAAAAGGAGCATGTTGAGCTTTGTTTCTCAGTGTTCTACGTTGCTTGAGGGGGCATGACCCCTCGGTCTCTTGAGAGTGGCGTATCTTCTTGGGAAATCACCTGTCACCCTTGTCTAGGCCAGAGGAAATGTTTAGGACTGACCAACTCCTGTCCCTTTGGGCTGAGTCCTCCCCCTCGCTCTGGGGTGAACTCTCTGGGGAAGGCCCGTTACAATTCCTCACCGCCGACTGGGATTTGTTTGTGGCAGGGGTGGAAGTCGTTGGACCCACCCGATAATCTGTTCTAACCTGTGTTAAACAGGAGACGCCGATGAGTGAATAGGCTACAGAGACTGAACTCCCCTCTGCTTCCTCAATGAGAGGGTGAATTTTACCCAGTAGCCTCCACTCTGGGAATACCGGGAGCTCTTGCACGGTTCCCAGCCCCTCCCATTCCACGCCACTGCAGCAGCTTTGAAAATGCATCTCCATGCTTTCTTTGCCCTCTGCCACTCGCTCTTTAATAACCCATCAGGTGCATCCATATCTGTGCTGCTCTGCACCCTATCTATTTTTAACAGTAAATAATTGCGTGTGTGTCTTTTGGAGAAAAGAAAAGCGAGGAAATAACTTCTGGGCAATGAAGAACTCCGTTAAAGCCAGGAAGTAGGCTGGGGCACCCAAAAAACTATGTCACAGCGCAGTTACAGTTGGAAATCGACTGTCAAAACTGGCCCTGTCTCTTCTCTCTGAGTTGTATCTGTGGCACATGCGAGGTTTTCATTTTCAAGCAAGCTGGTTTCTTCCCTGACTCGTGTATCGTTTTCAGATGTCAGCTGTGAGATTAGAAGAGCCAATCGTTCAGCCCTGATTGGCTCAAGAAGCGGCCGTGAGGGGAATTAAATAGGACTTTCCACCAGGGGCTGTTTGGATGAGAACGCAGACCTCATGTTCCCTGCCATTGCCGAGTGGTGGGATATTGGTCTCGCGTGATCTCCGCTTTTGGCACTTAACGATTAAGTCCCCTGAGGATTGAAATGTTTTAGTCTAAAGTTTTTGGACTCAATACAAGGGTAACTGGTTGTGTTGATGTTGCCCGTGTTTACAGGTCGGAAATCTCCTTTGCCTTTCCAGGAGTAACTGCATCTCTCGCTCCTTTTCTGAGCTGAGCGCATCCCCACCGGCCCTCAAGCCCTTCCCTTTCCTGGGGTGGGATTCCCCTATTTTCCCACTCTTAGCCCGCTTCCCGGGCTACGGCACCCCAAGTATCAGCTCTGCTTCTCTGGCAGGCCCTACGGAAGTTGGCCCCCGAAGTTCAGTCTTTTGGGCACCTTGACCTGAAACCAAAGGATTGTGTGTTGTTAACAGTAGGAACAAAACACAGCAAGAGAGAAACAGATTTTAGAACAGCAACCAGCCTACAGGCGAAACTCTCAGTGGTAGGAGCTTATTTGCGGACAGTAAACACTACGCCCTGGATACCACATGGTGAGCTACTTAAATTATCACAGGCCGCTCCAGATCTGTCCCCCTTTGAGTTTGGGTTCAGCCCTTTGAATAAATACTGACCCAGGCAAAGGTTTTTTGCCACCCAAGGGCTTTTCAGTCCAGCTGATGGCAGCCACATGGGAGCCGACAGCCGGGAGTTGAAGCGAGACAGATTCCGAGTGGAGGCAAGGTGCAGATTTTTCCACAGAACGGGTGATTAACTCTTGGAGCCGCTTCCCAAGGGAGGGTGTCCATCGCTGGGAGTCTTTAGCAAGACTCGGTTAGTGTTCCGAGAACATATGGCCAAGCCTGATCACTATGCCGTGGAATACTCTCGCCTGGGTTACGCAGGAGCTGATGATTATTTGTATTTCAGTAGTAGCTAGTTCCCAGCTGGGATCAGGACCACGTTGTGCTGTGCACTGTGTGCCCACGTGTAATCAGAGATACTCCTTGCCTCAAAAAGCTTCCAATCTAAACAGTCTGGCTCAGACTCAGGTGAGACTTCCTGAAATGCAGCCATCTCTGGGTAACAGCTGCCCAGCAAATCGGCAAAGGATGTGCTCACCCAGCACTGAGATGCAGCCACCTCTGGGGTGGGGCAGGACAGCTCTTTAGGAGTGGAGATTTTGCAGGAGCTGGGACGGAGGGCTCAGATTCTGACTCGCGGTGGATGGGGTAGTATCAAGGATTCATTCATGCCCAGGAGGGGTCAGAGCCTCATTGGGGAGATGCTTTTCTGCCCCAGGCAGAGAGGGGCAGGGCAGCACCTCGAAACGCTCCATATTTGAGTAGGTGTGTGTGAAGGAGGGGTGAGAGGGGCACCGCTTGTAATGCATTAACTAGCTGTGTGTGTAACTAGTGGCCCAGGACAGGGACTGGCTGGCGCTGGGCAGGGCAGGATGGGACGCAGAGCCTTTCCCCATTAGTTTGGGTGGGTAGCTGGCTTCGGGGGGGCGGTGGGGGGGAATGGTATATGGGACCTTTCCCCTCTAGGGGGCACCTGTTTCAATCTGACCCCATCTCCGTGCAGGGCGGAAGTGCGTCCCACTTGGTGCACCCATGTGTGTAATGAGCTGGTGGGTCTCAGCAGAGAAGGTGCCTTGATCCCTACCTGCCCTGAACACCCCAGTGCCAGTCACCTCAGCAGGGAGGCCAAAGGCTGAATGGGCCCCAGCTCCCCCCTATCCCCGTAGGGGGATCCCTGCAGGGGTGGGGCTGTGGCTCGTCAGCAGGGGGTGTTCTGTGGTGGGGGGTGCACTCCCTGCTCCTGTCCCCATTGGGGGGGGTACAAAGAAGCCACCTCTGCTCCCCTGGAATGTGGGGGCAATTGTCTGCACTGCGGTCTGTCCCAGCTGGCCGGGCAAGAACCTGTCTCTGTGGCTTGTATCGTATAATGGCCTGCAACTTGTTATCAATAAACCACCGATTTTCTTAGACTCCTTGGTGTGTTCGGCTCTTCCTCACTGTGCACTGAGCACCAGCAAGGAGGGAAGTGGGGTCTAAGTGGGTTCGAGGGGAGGCTGGGAGTCAGGACTCCTGGGTTCTGTCACAGGCTTTGGGAGGGCAGTGGGGTTTAGTGGTAAGTTCCCTGTAAGCAGCACGGCTGGGTGGCCACACACGGCTGGGTGGCCACACTATCAAGTGCTGCGCAGTTCAGGGGTCCCTCCCCCCCACTGCCATGTGCTGCTCCTGACCTCTGCCTTGGAGCTGCTCCCGGGAGCCTCCTGCTTGCTGTGCAGAGCGGCGGAGGGGATAAGGGTGCTGATGTCAGGGTGTTCCCCTGCCCTGTACCCCATCTCCACAGAGCAGGGGGACGAGACGGAGGGAGCTTGCTGACAGCTGCTGCTGTGTCTGAACTTGCTGATCTACTTAAAAGGGCAGCGTACTTAAAGGGGCAACACACGTCTCTGTCACACACACATACACACTCTGTCTTTCACACTCGCCTCCCAACACATACTTGTGGTGGTAGTGTTGTTACTTCTTGATACGTCTTTCAAAGTGTGTTATTTTAGTTTTTTGACTGGTCTGTGCATTTCATAATTTTTATTTCTCTCTTGCGCTTAAATTTAATTCATTGAGTAGTGAGTACAAATGCCTAACCTGTCCTGGCTGGATTCATTATTCCTATGGTAAGTTTTAAAAAATATATATTGTCTCTCTAATGGTGGCGCACATCTGCACATTACCTCGATACGGTGCACATCACAAAATTCATTCTGCACATGGATGGAAAAAATTAGAGGAAACATTGGTCTAGCAGTTAGAGCTAGGGGGTACTGGGAATCAGGATTAATGCTGGTCAGCGAACAGCCTGAAGCCCTAGAGAGAAGACCTCTTGCTCTTGATGCCTGTTTGTGAACAGAAGAGTAGCCCAGAACTACTTGAGAACCCCAGATGGGCCAGGGCTCTGTAGCAGAGGGCACTCTGCTGCCACCTGTTGGTGAGCAAAGGGAACAGCTGGTATGGAGCAAGCCTCATTTGCATTTCAATTAGGGTTAGGGTTGAAATTGGAGCAAAAGGTCCGTTTCCATGAAGCTTTGGGGGGGGGAAACTAATTCAGATTCATCGTGGAATTTGTGCTCAGAACCAGACAGGAAGAGCCAGCCCCACACCAAGAGAACCAAGTGGTTCGAGTCTGTAGAAGTTTTGATACCATCCTCATCACTGTAGTATCTGAGCATCTCCTAATAGTGCGTTAAGCCAGGTGTCTACGCATCCATCACGTGGGGTTTGGTCTCTTGTCCTCTACCCAGAGGAGGAAGGATGCTGTGGAGCGTCTTGTTTCAGTAGCAACTTCAAATCTACCTGCTGCTGTGTGTTTATTAGAGAAGGCCCGGCTGAAGAACTAGACCTTGCCTGTGGAGAGGAACGGGCGGAGGTTTGGGATGGGGCTCGGTTCCTGGGGGAAGTTCAGTAGGGCACATGGCTGCGATGTGGATGACCCAGTTTCAAATCTTTGCTCTCAATCAGGTGTGCAGCTCTCTCACTCTCTCTCTGGTGTCAACCAAAAACTCCATCCAGGACCTGAACTACCTTCCTGAAACATTAACAAAACGAGGAGGGTTCTGCGGAAAGTGTCTCTTTCAGAGGAGCAGCACTTTCTGATGGAGAGAGGTTTGGATGAGACATTCCAGTCGGCTCTAGTCAGGACTCCTGGGTTCTATCCCCTGCTCTGGGAGGGGAGTGGGGTCTAGTAGGTTAGAGCAGGGGAGGCTGGGAGCCAGGACTCCTGGGTTCTAGTCCTGGACTTATGACTGATTTGTGTAAGACTTATCCCCATTTGTAAACTAATTGCATTGACTGTGAAACGTGTTTCGGATATGTAACCTCACCATGTGAGCTATAACTACCCTATGCAGAGGTGGGATGGATCCTGATGAACCCGCGCTAATAAGGACAAACACTTTGATCTCACAGTTAATGGGTTCGGCCTGATCTGTGCGGGAGGCTGTTTGCGAATATGGGGGAGGCAGTTCCCCCAGTGCGGCACTAGGGGGCACTGTGCTGCAGGGAGCAGGGTGGGGGCTCAGAAGGGTCCGCTCTCCCCACACAGTCAGGGTTGACCCCAATACTCCAGTGCGGTGTAGGGATCCACTGCGCTGAAGATGAAATGTAAAATCCAGACCCTGGCCCGTCTAAAGCTCTAACCCACTAGACCTCACCCCCTCTAGGAGCTGTGGATAGAACCCAGGAGTCCTGGCACCCAGCCCCCCACCGCCCTGCCCTGCCGAATCTATTTCTGGAGACTAGTCACCTCCCTGCAGGGACTGTTCTCGGTGTGGGCGGTTACTTCAAAATGGGTCTGCTCTGTCCCTCTAGCCGCCTCAGGCGATGCTCCCTTTGCAGCTGGTCACCGGCACAGGAGGATAAAACCAGCCCCAAGCCCTGGAGTCAGGAGTCTGCGTCGGTCCCAGCTCAGAGCTCTGTGCTCCCCTGAGCCAGTGCCTACCCGACCCAGAGGAGCCCAGCATGGCCCGCGCTTTGCTCCTCACAGCGTCTGCCCTGTTCTGCCTCGCGCTGGGGGGTAAGTGCCGCTGGGCAGCTCGGGGGAACTCCACTCTGGGGTGACACAGGCCTGAGCGGCTCCTGAGGCAGCGGACGCCTGTCTCCCCTGAGCACCTAGAATAGATCTCAGTAGTCCTGACACCCAGCCTCCCCCACTAACCACTAGACCCCACTCCCCTCCCAGAGCCAACGATAGAACCCAGGAGTCCTGAAACCCAGCCTCCCCTCTAAACGCTTGTCGTGGAAAAAGTCACCCACGCATTGATTTTAGTTCACAGACTCAAGCCTGAGGCCAGTTTATTGCAAAACATACCAACGCGTTGGGGTAGCAGTCCAAAAACTGCCACCACAGCACGCAGGCTGCTTTTATTCCGTCAAACCGCAAGCATAGTACAAATAATACGTCATTTATGGGAAAATAAGGGTTGGGGTCTGTCCCTTTTTCCCGGCAGCTTCCTCATTATTTATACTGTTTTTTTCCGGGGTCATAGGGGTTTATTACGGGACGCACAAAGGAGAATCTTGCCTGTATGCTCAGGGTTCTACTGATCGCCATATTTTGGGGTCGGGAAGGAATTTTCCTCCAGGGTAGATTGGCAGAGGCCCTGGAGGTTTTTCGCCTTCCTCCGCAGCATAGGGCAGGGGTCGCAAGCTGGAGGATTCTCTGCGACTTGAAGTCTTTAAATCACGATCTGAAGACTTCAACAGCTGAGATAAGGGTAATTGGGTGGGTCAGCTTTTGTGGCCTGCATCATGCGGGAGGTCAGACTAGATGACCATAATGGTCCCTTCTGACCTTAAAGTCTATGAGTCTATGAGTCATATGATTAGCTGGTTGGCAGATAGCTGGAACTATAGGAGAAGTTGGCCTTTACTACAAGCAATTTCTTCATATAAGCTGAATATAAGGGGAGGGATAGCTCAGTGGTTTGAGCATTGGCCTGCTAAACCCAGGGTTGTGAGTTCAATCCTTGAGGGGGCCACTTAGGGATCTGGGGCAAAATCAGTATTTGGTCCTGCTAGTGAAGGCAGGGGGCTGGACTCCATGACCTTTCAAGGTCCCTTCCAGTTCTAGGAGAAAGGATATCTCCATTAATTTAATTTAATTAATTATGTTTTGTCAACAAGTGGTTATCATGTTTTTCATAAACGTGGTTATCATGTTTTTCATAAACAAGCAGTTATGTTTTTCATCAACAAGCGGTTATCATGTTGCTAAGGCCTTTTGCATGGCTTCCTTCCCCTCCCTCCTCTGGTCATAGCCCATGACCGTATTTGGCAGGGAATTGTACAGCTTAGTTTTGTTCAGGCCTTGGCCTGTACTGTTCTATGTAAAGGCCGTCTATATAGTCAGCCTCTGTCAGAGGCCCTGAATTTGGGCCTTCGGTGTTACTTTGGCTGTCATAAAGAAGGCCACCTAGTTCTTTTTCCCCACAATTTCCCTCCTCTGATGCCATGTAGGCATCATTATTACAATTTGCTAAAGAGGCCATAGTGCAGTATTTAGGCTTTTTTTCTTGTAAAAGGGGATCAGTGGACATGAGACTGGCAGTACCGGGGGGGTGGACACTAAGGTGACCAATTTCTGGGTCTGTAGGAAAGTATAGTGTTGTGTTGGGGGTATCGATGGGAAAAAGAAGGGCTTGGGGTGGTGATTGAACCTGTAGCTGGGGTAAACGACACACCCTGCACAGGCAACAAAGGGTGGTGATTAATAAAACGCAACAGATTGCAAGAATTAGGCCAGCTAGTATTTTTAAGACTGAGGATGTGAAGAGGCTGGGCGTGGCTTGGGCGATTTCTTTAGAGGCAAAACACAAAACGTCGTGGGAAGAACATAGGGTACCCACCCGGTAGGCAGTTTGGAATGCTTTGGCCTCTCCGTTGTATTCGACCTCTATTCGATGTATTTGGTCTTGGAGGTGAGATATGTTGGGGAGGAGGGAGATCAGAAAAGTCAAATTTAGGAAGCGGTTCAGGATGAGGGAAGTCCAATCGAAAGTAAGGGGGACAGCTGGGTGGAGGGTTATGTAGATTTGGGGATTAACAGGCCATGTGATAAAGCGGCTACCCTGGGTAGTGGTTAAGTTAAGGTGAAAGGTAAGAGGGGTGTCGGGATTGGATGGCAGGGCACAACCATCCTTTTTGCTAAATAGGAGTTCTCCTCCTGGGGCCTTACCTACTGCTTCTCCTTCCCAACAAACTGTATCAAAGATGTTCAGTAATTCCCCAGGGTGTAACTTACGGAGACAAAACAACTGTGGGGGTTCCAAGGGCCATAAGGACCACAAGGTTCTGATTCCCACCCAGACGTGTTGAGCAGCGAAATCGTGGGGAGTGGTGATAAAACGGCTAGGTTCGTGGGGTGGCTTGATTTTCCATACCTGCCGGCCGATAACCCAGTCCCATAGGCAGCCCGCCCAGCGTC